TGTGATAAGCACAACGCCTACCAAGGTTTCTTCCCATAAATTCCCCTGGTGCCCTTGCTGGTGTTTTGCTGGTGTTCTGAAATAGAATTGGTTCCGTATTTGATCCAGGACTTTGTGGACCGGGATTCGGAACACAATCGTCACCGCCTGCTTAGCCCTCAATTCCGTCTCTTGTTTGTTAGGTCCATTGTTACCTCGGCCTCACTTTGGCGAGCCGTTTTCTTTTTCTAGCTTTGTCTCCTTATTCCCCGACGTATCCTCCTCGGCTCTGGCATACTTCTCGATTCTCGCCATGAGCTCTTCCATGCTTTTTGGCAATGTCTTTGCCAAAGACTTCCGTAGTGGACAATCATCTTTCAGGCCGTTCTTGAAAGATACGATCGCTACCTCTTGGTTGCATTCGGGTATTCGATTGAACACCTCATAGTACCTTTTTGCATAGGCCCTAAGGCCTTCATCTTTACTGATCTTCAGAGCCATCAATGCGTCCATCCTCAATGGCTGCAGTTTGTTTGTTATGAACCTGGCCACAAACATCTCGGCCAGGCCTTCCCAAGTCCTCATGCTTCCCTTCGGTAGTTTGTGGAACCAATCTGATGTAATCTTCTTGAAGGATGAGGGGAACACTTTACAGAGCAATGGCTCGTTCCCACTATACAATGCCATTGAGTTCAAAAATAATCCAACATGGAAGTTAGGGTCTAACTTACCATCGTATATTTGGAACCTCGGCATATTGAATCTCTTCGGCGCTACGAATTTGTCCAATTCCACTGAGAATGGTGTCCTCGGCTTAACCGGGGAAGTTACTTCGGCTTCGGCATTCTGTTGTTTCCTCTTGAGGTAATCTCTCAAGTCTTCTTTACTTCTCCCTAGAGCTCGGCTGTCTTTGGAATTTAGTCTTTTCGGTACACTACTCTCGGCCTCGTGGTGGGCCCCTTTGGATCTTTCCCCCTGAGATGTGTCGAAGCATAATGCCTGCCCTTGAACATGCCGATGTTCTTTGGGGTCTGCCTTCTTCGTGCGCCGTGACCTCTGTGATTCTTCCCTTCATGACTCTCCTCGTCTGACCTCCTTGGAGGTTTGGTGAGAGTGTCTTTTGTTGTGCTGAGGGGCTATGGGGATCTGTCCTCCCTTCTGGGTGTTGACCGCTGGAATCGGTGTGTCATGCAGTGGGAAGGGTGGCTGCATGACGTTGTTTTGCATCATAAAATTGACGACCGACTGTAGGTCGGCCAATTTATTCGCCATCTCTTTTACTTCTTCATCCCTCCGCAGGCATCTATCTTTCTAAGTCTGGAGGTTATCTTCGTTATAGTACCTGCCTTGGTCTGCTTTCTTCGGTGCGTCACCAGTCTGGCCAATGTCTTTCTCTCCGTGATTCTGGTCACGAATTTCTCTATTGTGGTTGTTTTCTTCGACATCAAGGTCGATGGGTCTGTCACTCCCAGTAGGAGCGTTGTCCCCAATCTTTTCCTTCTGTCCGTTACTGGCCATCTATTCTTCTTTCTTTCCCACAGATGGCGCCAAATTGTGTGAGTGATTTTCTGATCACACTGCCCGTCTAGTAATCAGCTAGAGAGCACTGGCAGAATAGATGGCTTCAGCTAACCTGCAACCGAAAGAGAAGGCTCCAGCGGTGGTTCTTCCACCCGAGCGCACTTCGACGAGCAAGTCAGTATATCTTTCAAAGATAATCAAGTGCTAAATTCACTTCTCTGAATACAAATTGCGTACCTTAGACCCGCCGGGGGTACCTCTCTTTTATAGTTAACTTAATCCTAGTTCCACTAGAAGCCTGACTTCTATGGACTTTAATTCTGGATTTACCTTGCACACTTCAAGAGATAAGGATAGACTTCCAAGAGTCCTATCCTTACCCATCTTGAAGTCTTTTCTTCATTTCAGGACTCTTGTCCCTTATCCGCTTATCTCGGTTTCCAATATCTTCAGAGGAAACCTCGACCTAGACGAGATTACCTCGACACAACGACCAAGACACGTGGCACCTTGGCTGACACGTCGGCGTCACCTTGCCACGTGTTGGTACTCAGAAAATATATCCCCACACTTATATTTTTTCGGCAATGATAATAAATGAAAGTTTTTATGGTAACCACAACTTCATGAGATGAGATAAGTACAACAATAAAAGCTCAGAAGAGATTCATAACTTTGATGGTATTCTTAGCTCAAAAGAAATTGGCCTTATAAGGATAAATTTCTTGAAAAAAATGACAAAAATAATAAAAATTATTCGTCATTTTTTCGATACTGAACTCCCGAACGTTTGACTGAAATTCAGGAATACATGCCTGAATATTTCTTATTTGTTCGGAAACAGACAACCAACTCTGACAATGATCAAACCAAAGAAAAGAATGAGGCGGCAGTAGAGATCACAATCTAAACCAATCTTATCAAGGCAATTGACAATAAATTACACTTGGCTCTTCTCTTTTTTTTTTCTCAAGCACAAAAATCCCAATCTAATTTCTTGTTGATATATTTTGAGGATTAAAGATTAAAAACCTTATATTTATTTTCTCACTCAAGTATGTGGAGATGAAATAATAATCACCTTTGTAGGTTTGGTTATGGTTTTTGGGAGAGAGATTTTGTAGGGTGTGAGGACGTGCATCCAATTGAATGTGTGGAAGATAAGGATAATTTTGATATTATTTAGGGGATAAAATTTTTTTGAGGGTTTTAAAATTTATAAGTGGGATCCAAAGAAATGGGAGATCCAAAATAACTGATGGGATACCAATAGCAACACTCTTTTTTATCTTTTCTTTTTGTCTACAAAATTCCTTTTAAACCCCTCGTATATATAAAGTTTTGTTTATTTGGATAGAAAATATTTTTTTATTTTTTTATTAAAAATAAAAAATATATTTTTCTATATTTGATAGTGGTGGTAGAATGAAGCTGGTGGTGGTAAGGCAATAGTGATGGTAGTTGTGGTGATGGTGGTGGAGGTAAGAGTGGCGGAGGTGATGTGATGAAATTGGTAAAATTTTAGTCTAAAAAATATTTTCAGCCTTTTAAAAGTAAAAAATATTTTCTTTCCGAATAAGATTGTTTTTCATTTATCGTGAAAATATTTTATACTGACTTTCGTTTTCTATTATATCAAAAAATATTTATTTTTTGCTTTCCTAAATTTTGGCATAAGTATAAATAAGGTTTTCAATTTTGATGTAATTTTAAATTAATACAGATGATGTTCAAATACAAAGATAAATAAGATCAAGGGTGGTAATAGAGAGTTCTAAAAGTAAAGTTCTAAATTGAGTTATACTTATGTGGTAATGAAAAAATAAAAAAAATCCAAAACATCACATTATTAATGGGCCCCACTTATTAGAGCTCTTGGTTTAGAGCTCTCAAACATTTTTCTAAGATCAAATATATATTTTACATAAAAAATGATAATATTTTTTTATTTATATAATTAATAAATTATCGATGAAGATACCACAAAGTGTTAATATAATTATTTCAAATTTCTAGAACTAGTTATATTTTTTTTCTAAATGTAGCATTTTTACTTGCTACTCTTGCTCAATATAAAATGGTAACACATATTCGAGTGAGTTATTTTTTATTTTTCAACGACATAATAAGATTGAGTCTGTATGCCTTAATAAATCTTTTTGTTAAATAATTAGTTTTAAAAATTACATAAATAATGTCACATAAAATTAACCATCATTCTATACGAATTAGTAACATTTCATGCAATTACAAATGCTATAGTCACAATCATTCTATACTTCTACAGCATTTGTAATAACATGATCATGGATGTTCCGAAAATTGACATTTTTAATGAGTTTTTGAAATTTTTCAAAAAATTATTTACAAAAATAAAAAAATAGTTAACTTTTATAATAACTTTTTTGATTTTTGGCATGTTTGAAAATTATTTTTTAAATTTTTTATTAAAAGATGTATAAAAAATTTAAAAAATTAAAAAAATAATATGACAACTTATAATAATTTTTAACTTTTTAATTATTTACCCTATTGACAAATAAGGTCCCAAAAAAATCCTAAATCAACAATGGTCAGAGACTCGGTGTCTCCAAAATTGACTAATTTACTGTTCAAAAAAAAAAAAAAACCTACAAACTGCACCAAACAGAGCCTAAGCCATGGTATAATACCAAAATGCCCTATATTATTAGCCAGCAAAGTTATTCAAATTCAACGACTCCATCAAAGTAGCCCAGATTGAGAATTAACATTTGTTACAACGAATGCATGTCCACTAGCTAAAAATTTATCTCTTTGTCCAAAAATTAATCCCAATCACAGGGGACATACACCTCCAGCATTAAAAAGCTTCATTCTAGCAAATGAGAAGAACAGAAACCCTAATAAATAATATCACTTGTATATAAGAGCATCACGCCCAGGCCCGACGCCTATGTAATGGATGGGAATACCAACAAGTTCTTCTATCCTTTCCACGTATTCCTGTGCAACCTTTGGAAGATCAGAGTAGTTTCTCACCTTCGAAATATCACATTGCCACCCTGGTGAAACTTCATATTCCACCTGACATATATAAGAAAGAAAAAATACAATTCACATGGTGAACGGAAGCCACTATGAGGCAAATGGAAACAATTACAAACTCAATCTTTAGTTTTTCAATTATTTTCTTTAATTTTTGTTATGTATTAGGTTATTAATACAAAACAACAAGCGGGGGAGGGTCAAACATCAAGTGTAAACCATCACATTCAGATAATTTCCTACTTAGAAATAGGACTACTTTTTTAGGACAGAGAAGATTCATTGCTAGGGTTTCCAGGTGAAGACAAGTTTCATTTTGGCATCCTTGAGAACGAGTAGGGTCCCAATACATGGAAAACGAAAATGGATAACCAACCACATACTACGTGCAAAGTTTCTATTTAGTGAGCCAATGCCATCAAAGTTTAATTCTCCATTGAGTAAAAAGGGCGACCTAGTGTGCGAGGGCTAAACTATACACAACCCTGTGTAAGTTTAGATACCAGCTCCAAATAAATATATGGAAAGGAAAAAGAAATGCTTGCCTTCAGTTGCTCGAGAACACGAAGATCACCAGAGAAGGATTTGACTGGTGTACGATCAATGTGTTTATACAATACCCCCAACTGAATTTCAGGAAGATCCGACAAGACATCAAGCTTAGTGAGATTTAGAGAAGAAAAGCCATTAATCTGACAGCAGTATTTTAGAGCAACTACATCAAGCCAGCCACAACGACGAGGACGACTAGTAGTCGTGCCAAACTTCTTCCCAGCAAACCTAAGGAGGTCACCACCTTTACCCAAGATTTCTGTTGGGAAAGGACCTGAACCAACTCTAGTGGTGTACGCTTTAACCTACACCATAAAATATCAGGTAGGTACCATAAATGACCATGGTATAAGTGTATTGTGCGAAGTACAAATGTTATTACCATGAAACACTCAGGCGAAATCACTTTCTACAAGAAACACTTGGGAGAAAAGAGAAAAATAATAAAGAAATGAAAGAATTATAGCTCTTACCACTCCAACTAGGTCACCAAGAATTCTAGGGGCAATGCCAAGACCAGTACAGATTCCACCAGTTGATGGGCTAGAGGAAGTTACAAATGGATAGGTTCCAAAGTCAATATCCAGCATGGTTGCCTGACCACCTTCCACTAAAATCTGCTTCTTTTGTGCAATGGATTCATTCACGACATGCACAGTGTCAGCAATGATGGGTTCCAACCTCTCAGCAAATCTCTTGTATTTTTCAACTTCTTCTTCGAGCATGTCTGAGCTATACTTAAAACCTTGGAATCTTAAAGCTGCATCTGACAATAACAGATCAAGCTTCTGAGGTAAAGTGTCCATATGCCTAAGGTCACATATTCTAGTGCCATTGCGAATAACTTTGCTGGAGTAACATGGTCCAATGCCTCTCTTGGTAGTGCCAATAAAGGAATTAGCTAGCTCGGCCTCTCTAAGGCCATCTACTACGTGATGAAAATCAAATAACAAGTGAGCACGATCAGATACCAATATTCTACCTTTGCAGGAGACCCCATTAGATTCAAGGCCATCAATTTCTTCAAACAACCCTGGTAAATGCACTACAACCCCATTACCAATCACACACACAGTTTCCTCGTTAAGAATACCTGAAGGAACAAGATGAAAGACAAACTTCTTCCCCTCTACATCGTAAATAGTGTGTCTAGTATTGGCTCCACCCTGACATCAAGTTATATTTAAAGCTTTAGAGTAAAATGATTGCAAGTCTCAGACACCTGGCTGTTTACAATCACACAAAGCATGTTTAGCAGAAGGTTTATCAACTCAAAAAGAAGACCTTTCCTTTTTGATGGTTCTTTCTTTTTTAGTCTTTAAAATAAAAAAAATAAAAACGGATCTTTCACCAGCCACAAGTAAAATATACTTTGAATTGTGGCAATATAGATGTTCATGTTTACATGTAAATTGAATATCCAAAAATCATAAAGAGAAGTAGGAAAGAGTTACTATCTGGTGTTCATCAGAGTACTAGTTGCAGATTGGGGAACTTGGTATTTTAGTTACAAATTTTTGAGCTTTTATTACATGGGTGAACTCCACATTCAAGTATCAAACACTATGACACCCATAGCAAAGGAATGGGTGATGCCCACGGATGAAATACCCCCTCTCCTCCCCCTCCCCATTCCCCAGCCACTACCCTCTTCCCCTTCCAACATTCCCACTTCCTCCTTCGCCAGCCACTGCCCCCCACCCTTTCCTCTTTCAGCACCATTGCCACCTCCACTTCCCCCTTCCCCATTCCACAACCCATCCGCTTCTGTTATCCTCTTCTGATTGGACACCAGTGCCGCACAGATGGTCATTTTTGAGGAAGTATCACCTGTTGGCTAATCATAGCTGACGGATTCCGATATGGCAAAGGAAGAGCCAAACGTGACGAATTCAACGACAAAAGAATCCAATCAAGGTGTTTAGACAGGGTACTCTCAGATCTGAAGCTCATGACCATCCCATTAGGTTAATGTCGGCTGTGATGGGTCTAATCTGATTGCAATACCTCAAATGCCTCTTCCACTTATTATCACCACCAACACCTTTGGTATTATGTCGAGCCCACCTCCAAAAACAGCCTTAATAGTTAATACCACAACAAATCCACCACCACTGCCGCTTAAAAATGATTACTTTGCCCAAACAACCCCCAACGACCAGTCAACAATGTCACTTAAAATGACTACCAACCCCACCACCTGTAATATATGCAAACATGTAGCATTTACTTATATCCATCCTATCACCACTACCACCACTAAATTACTAGCACATCCTTTGCCTTGCCAACAAAATTGGTTTTAGCAAACTGACAATTCGGGCACTAGCACCTCAAAAATCTCACCACCACCAAATTACTTTGTCTTTTATAAACTGATCTCCAATTTCTAACATGTTTAGTATAGAGTAATCACTTATTAAAGACCTAATTTCAACACCAGGCCATTAAGAGTACAAAACAAACACTAACAATATGTCCAATTTATGCCTTGAGATCTTGTAGAAGTTAAAACTGCGATTAAGATGAATAACCAACAAGGGTAAATTTAGTTTATGCATGTAGAGTGAATTGTCAAACAGTATGAGGAATCCATATGACTTGTAATCATCGGATGTATTTTACTGTTTTATTTCGCCTTTGCATATCACCCAAAAGACAATCTTTTGAAAGTAAAAGAGCCCATTTGGATTTGGTGACTTTGGAATAAAAGAAAAAGAAATGCATTTCTCTCGTTTGTTTGGATTAATATTTAAAGGTAATAAATGGGGTGTTCTATAACCCTCATTTGCAATTTTGATAATTTTTTTTAATGTAATTTAACCAAACAAAAGAGCAGAGAAATCTTTTATCTCTTATCAAATTGTAACAATTTCTTTTCTTTTCTCTCATAATTCCCAAACAAGAATGTAAATTTTAATTCGAAACCAAATAAGAAACCTTCTTGAAGATCATACATGTACACATATACCTGACAACGAGCGACGATGTCAAAGTGCTTGGCCAAGATATCGACGAGTTTGCCTTTACCTTCATCACCCCACTGACAACCCAACACGCCCGAGACCTGACTCAACGATCCGATTTGACTCAGCCCCTGACTCGCTTGCTCAGTAGCCACAGTAGATGGCGATGAAGAAGAAGAAGAAGAAGCAACAGACTTCACAGAGAATACCGCATCCTTGCGATGGTGAAGATGAAGAAGGTGAGACCCAGCACAGGTTCGGATGGTTCTTCCATAGAAGCTCCCCTGTTGAGCTGTGATAGGGTTTGATTCAAGTGTCAGTGATGAGAGGTTCATCGTGGAGAGAAAGATGAGAGAGCTAGGGTTTATAATGAGAGAGAGGTTTCGAGAGAGGTTTAATTTAATGATTCAGAAGATAAAAATGCAAACGGAAGTTCCTGAATTTTGGCGCATTTCCAGTGGAACTAAGATTAAAATGACATATTTGTGTGTGTAGAGGGAGAAAGAGGGGACCTTTTTGAGATCGAGTAGAGGGGCCATGGTGGAGACGAACTGTTCAAGAGACATAGCGGATGAATTCTTGCTACTGTTCTTCCCTCCTTTCTCCATTTTTAGAGAGAGAGAGGTTTTAGGATAACTGGGTTTTGCGAGGTTTTTATATATTTTCCCAGTTTTTTTTTTTAAGTGCCGCTATTAACGGACATCAATTATTTTGGATCCCATTTTTTTAGGATCCCATTTTTTAGGATTTTTTTATTACAATAATAATTTTAAATAAAATTATTAAAAATTACATTAATAATTTTGAGGTATCTCATCTCATAATTAAGGTTTTGTTTAGGAAGAATAGTTGGGTTGGGTTTAGGATTATTTTAACCACAAAAAGACAAAATATTACATGCAACCCATAATCATTGCATTCTTTCTCTCACAAATAGTCAAAAAAACCAAAAAATCTTTCCAAAACGAGGCTTTTTAGCCTCAGGCAAAAATAGCCAAAAAGACAACCCACTTCCCAAACGAATACTAAGCCAACACATACATTATATCATGAATTATAATTTATGAATGCACCCACCTTTATCACTACCCATCCATCTTCTTCAAATCTTACTTTTCCAAACCTACCCACCCTCAAAATCTTAAAAACTCTTTAGCGGTAATAATGGCAATCATTTGATTACCTTCACTTATCCGGTAATGATAACGAGTGAAAATTTTTCTAGCAACCACAACTGCATAAGACGAGAGAAGTATAATAATAAAAGCTCATAATTTTGATGGTATTCTTAGCGTAAAAGAGATTGGCCTTGTAAGAATAAGTATATTGAAAAAAATAACAAGAATAATAAAAACTATTCATCATTTTTTTGGGGACTGAACTCCCGAACATATGACCTAAATTCGAGAATACAGACCTGAACATTTCTTATTTGTTTGGAAATAGACAACCAACTCTGACAATGGTCAAACTGAAGAAAAGAATGAGGCGGCAGAGATCATAACCTAAACCAGTCTTATTAGGGCAATTAACAATAATTACACTTGGCTCTTCTTCTTTTTTCTCAAGCACAAAAACCCCAACTCAATTTCTTGCTGGTATATTCTAAGGATTGAAAATTAAAAACCTTACATTTATTTTATCACTCAAGTATGTGGAGATGAAATAATAATCACCTTTATGGGTTTTGTTAGGGTTTTTGGGAGAGATATTTTTTGGGGTGTGGGGAGTGTGCATTCAATTGAATGTGTGGAAAATAAAGATAATTTTGATATTATTTAATGGATAAAAGAAATTTTAAGGGTTTTAAAATTTATAAGTGGAGTCCAAAGAAATTAAAGATTCAAAATAACTGATGAGATGCTAATAACTGCACTCTTTTTTATCTTTTCTTTTTGTCTACAAAATTCCTTTTAAACTCCTTGTATATATAAAGTTCCGTTTATTTGGATAGAAAATATCTTTTATTAAAAATAAAAAATATATTTTTCTATATTTGGTAGTGGTGGTAGAATGAAGGTGGTTGTGATGGCATGGTGGTGGGGCGATAGTGATGGTGGTTGTGGTGATGGTAGTGGAGGTGATGTGATAAAATTGGTAAATTTTTAGTCCAAAAAATATTTTCAACCTTTTAAAAGTAAAAAATATTTTATACTCAAATAAAATTGTTTTTCATTTATCATGAAAAATATTTTATATTGACTTTCATTTTCTATTATACTGAAAATATTTTAAAAAAATATTTTTTGCTTCCCTAAATTTTGGAAGAAGTATAAATAAGGTTTTCAATTTTGATGTAATTTTAAATTAATACAGATGATGTTCAAATACAAAGATAAATAAGATCAAGGGTGGTAATAGAGAGTTCTAAAAGTAAAGTTCTAAATTGAGTTATACTTATGTGGTAATGAAAAAATAAAAAAAACCCAAAACATCACATTATTAATGGGCCCCACTCATTAGAGCTCTTGGTTTAGAGCTCTCAAACATTTTTGTAAGATCAAATATGTATTTTACGTAAAAAATGATAATATATTTTTTTATTTATATAATTAATAAATTATCGATGAAGACACCACAAAGTGTTAATATAATTATTTCAAATTTCTAGAACTAGTTATATTTTTTTTTCTAAATTTAGCATTTTTACTTGCTACCCTTGCTCAATATAAAATATTAACACATATTCGAGTGAGTTATTTTTTATTCTTCAACGACATAATAAGATTGAGTCTATGTGCCGTCATCACTAAGATTGTCTTGGCTCGGGAACTTAGGTACAAGAGGGAAAGGTCATGAATTGAGCACCCCTCTCGCCCGATCAAAGATTGGCCTCTACTAATCATGATGTGATTCTTATCTATATTATATGCTCTTGTTCTGATTAATAGGCTAGCTTACTATGTGATGCGCATACACACAAGTATAGACTAAATTGTAAGAATTGGAACATTTGATTTCATGCTTGGTTTTGAAAATCGTTTCGAATTTGTACCACTTGAAAAAGTGATCGCATATAAATATTTACTCAAATTATTCCAATTCAAACAACTAGCCTCCATCCACAGGCATTCAAACAGTTTATCATTTAAGCAATTAGCCTCATGGCAAGCATGCTAGACATGGCAACAAATACACGCATGCGATATGCTAAAGCGAGTAAAGGCTCACCTAGTACTCCAAGCCGAAAAGATGAAAGAGTTAGAACAATGCATGATCCTAACTTATGTAATATGCCTAATGCAACACATGCTATATGCAATTACTAGGCTCGGCTATTAATATAGCATATAAAGCAATTTGATAGCATGTGGTCTAAGCACGTATTCAAAGAATGTATTTAAACTAACAATGCGAGTTAGAATGATAAACCGAGCCTCGGTGCATGCAAGACAAGTGAATGCAAACATGGAGAATGCTAAACAAAATATAATGCCCTAAACTAACCAACGTAAGCTAGTAAATAAAAGGGAGAAAGACGTGGGGTTGGAAGACATACACATTATTACAACATTGCGCCCTCACATATTAAGGTCCGAATGAATAAACTAGCTAACTAATTAAAGCTAAACTAATTAATTAACTATTACAAACCCGAATGAATAATTTAGCTAAACTACTTAACTAATTATTACAATAAATTAATTAACTATTGTAGCTAACTAATTATTACAACAAATCAAAACGAACTAATTATTTACATGAATACAATATGAAAAGAGTGCTAAACTAGCTATTCTAATTACTCTGCCTCGGGAAACGAGGAATGCTCATGCATGCACAGACTTTCCATCCGAAAAAGCCATTGTTTCTGCTACCAAATGCCTCTGTTGCACAATAGAACACT